CGTGCTAGCGATAAGACAGAGAACTAAAGAGGGTAGGTAAGTACCTACATCAAACAACTAAGAATCTTATGAGTACGCCTACTTCGACTTCACATGGGTAATATGTATAAAATTCATAGTTTGGCGCCAAGGGCAAGGTTCTTTACGTACCTTACGGTCAAAAGGTTAACAGGTTTTTTTTTCTTTTTTATAAGTACTTAGTGGGATGGCGTTTGGCCACCGTCTTCAGTTTAAGGTACAAATTTTTACGGAGAAAACTCGTTCGCCCGAGTCTTATTTATGTACCTATTTATATTTACTGTGTCGTCAACATAATTATAATAAAACGATATCCAAAGGATTACTACTTTTGTAGAATAGGAGTAATTAGGGTTCACACAAAATAAATAAAAAGAAATACTTTTTGCATTCATTTTATTTGACACTTTTACTTACAGTTAAAATTATCACAAATAAACAGTGAAAATTACTGATGATTCACAGAATCTAAAAGACGGCAACGGCTAGACCTTTTCATTTCTAATGCAACTTGACACAACACAAAGTGGCAAATTGTTATCAACTAAAGATTCTTACATTGCATATTAACATTAGGTACAGAATTTAAGAAAAACTTATTCTACTAAAAATATATTGGATATTGTTCAGTACTATTTCAGAAATAAGTATTTCACAATAATTTCAGCATATTCTCACTAAGGTGATGTAAGAGTTACTGTTTGATGCCGCCCACCTAGCAACACAAGTCCACAAGTCATTCAACTCTGCAGAAATCATTAGCGGGTATTGTAGTACATACCTACTGTGCTACGTCCTGAAGTCCCGAAATAGTAACTAATTAAATGGAACTTATAGGAAAAAAAAGTACAAACCAGTAATCTTCAATACAATAAGTTTGGATATCCGATGTGACAAACTCTGATCAAGTTCAATAAAAAAAAACGCTTCCTACTATGACGACAGCATTTAGAACAAACTGGTCGAAAAGAATATTTTAACAATAACGGGCTGCCTACACACAGGCCTACCGCATACTTCTACGAACCCACTGTAGGGCACCGCCTTTTACATAACCGATTTCCTCAAATTAGCGAGCGACACTGATACGAAGTAAAACTAACGAAGATGTAATAACGTTTGCTAATATTCATTTTTTGGTATTTCAAACATTCATTATTCAACATTTAATAGAATTTTAATTACATATTTATACACATTTTTGTATATTATTAAATCGCTAACAATACCGCCTTTTGATTGGACTTAAGGCAACGATTAATTAATATTAACAATACAGACATTCGATTTGTAGGTTTGAGGCAATTTGAACAGAAAAAAACATCCGCGAAATATTGCCAGTTGTCTTAAAACTAAAATTCTAGGTACTTAATTTCTAAGTTTTTGTAACAGTGTTACAGAAATGGTCGTAAACATATAAACGACAAATGTTTAAACTTAAAGCTAAAATAAACGTGCGTACTGTCAGACAGTTCCATTCATCACTGTAGAACTTAATTTAAAACTTAATCATTAGTATCACTGTTACCAGTATAAAAAAAGGAACTGAATAAGTTGTTGAGTACAGATCTAGTTTAACTTTGGATGAAAGTGGCAGAGTTTATTCCTTATCAATTAACTATTTTTCATGAAAAGGCCAGTGCTTAGAGTAGTCTCCAAGCATCTGTAATCAAAATGTCAACATGGTAAAATTATCTTAAATATAGTCATTAATTAAAACTTCTCACAATCACCACTGATGTTTCAAAATTAGACTGCCGGCAACTCTATCAGATTCATTACTTTGTACCATATCTTATCATAATTATCATTATGTAAATATTAGTCTAGTCATGTTAAATACAGATACTTATTAGATGTTTTAATGCATACAAGTTGTAATTAAAATTATGATAATACTAGTTTATGCCTTGAAACAATAGCATTAGAGTCACCAGGCTGTTAATTAATAATAAACCATTGCCAAATTAAAAAATAATACAACTGGCAAATAAAAACAGTACAAATATTTTGATTTAAAACCACAAGGAATGCAAATAGTGACATAATAAGCGGTTTGAACCAGCAGCATAAATTATGCATAATGCATGTAATTGGTCATGAACATGATCATTTGATGATGTATATTATACATACTACTCACATTCAATGAGGTATTTACAATGATCTTCATTTGAAAAATATTTTTTTTTTTGTCAACCAAAGCTACTAATCAAAGGCCTTATTTTACAACAATAGTCTCTTTTGTGTTACTTTTTTTCTTATTTTTTCTCTTTCTTTATTCTAAACTTTCAAATGCTTTATTCCTTTACTGGTTACATTAAGTTTATAAACCTATCTCCACGAACAACAAATGACACAGAACATTTGATTTTACTTAAAGCAATGATTTGTAACTTACTTATAATACTCTAGCATTTTCTATACAATGCTTAGGATGCAGTTTTAACATCCTGACAAAGTTACTGCAAGCTTCGAAGAGCATCTAGGTGCTTGGGAAGTATAATAGTCAACATGTTGTAATTCAAAAACCAGTTGTTGATTGAAGTCTAATCATTAAAAAAATGAAACAATCAAAAGCCATCATTATTGTTAATGAAATAAAGATCATGAATCAATATCATTATTGGACCTGTTCTTATAAGACTTGTAATATTGCTCTAAAGGCATTTTGAATTACAACAAACTCTTCAGTGATGTTAAATTTACATTCTATTAACATTAAACAGTATCAGTTATTTAATGAATTCTTTAAAAACAGGCCAACGCTTAGAGGAAGTCCTATGGGCAGGACTTAGCATTCGGTTCCTCTAAGCCGTGCCTGTTAGCCTGTACTACTTTTTTGCTTTTGTTGAGTTACCCTGCTTGTGTGGAGGAGTCCATCTTAATGCAGATGGGTCTACAGTCAACCGAGGCTTCTTGAAATGTGAGCTAGCCAACTGTTCTGCAACTATTTTTGGTGTAACACATATAACATGCTGACCTTTCCAATACTTTACCATGTTCATTGACTGTAATGTAGAAATGATGTCTGTTTGAGATATCCCCGTCATGGAACTCAAGTCTTTGATGCTTAATGTGCCTCTACTCACACTTAATACTTCTAATAAGACATAAGACCAATAAGATCTGTAACTCAATTTGCCCAAATCTGATAATGGTTTTTCTGGACTACCCACTACATGTTCAAGTCTAGACAACTCGTAACTAAATGCTATAAGTAGCTTACCATAACCTTGTCTCTGATAGGGAGGTAGTGTCAGTATACACGCCACATTGTTCCCTTCCGGGGAGTCCTTCTCTTTAGAGAAATATCCAACAAGATGTGCTCCTTGCTTGTCAACTTCACACAGTATATAAAATAAGAATTGCTCTATATCAAAATATAATGTTTTGTGATCTAAGAACAATTTAGCAAGTAAACAAAGATTTTGACAGTAGATTTTATGTTCTTTGCCATCTGCCTCGAATATAGCTATTGTTCCCTTCCTGTATATCTCACTACCCTGTGGTTGTCGCGCTGTGCACTCGCTCAGGTGATACCTGTAAGTTTTCTCCATTCTCATGTATTTCAAACAGTACTCGCATATCCATAGCTTAGACTGCTTGCCATACTCGTCAGGATAAGGACTGAAGTACCATGTATCTATCTCGTATTTGCCGAATTGGATTCTATCGATGTATTTTACTTTAGTGATAGCTTCGTGCTCTTTCTCAAGCGCTGCCGTCGTCGGGTCCATCTCTGCGTAAGACTTCTGGACGTGATTAATTTCATCATGTTTACGTTTTTGGTTCCTTGTTATTTTCCGGCCGGATTTATCAGTGAGAAGGTGGTCACAATTTATGTTGTTATTCGACTGTTCGCACATGTCGAATCTATCTGACATAACCCTGTGTCGGGATACCCATTCATCGAGCCTTCTATCGTAGCCGACATAGTGCACATAATACTCGTAGCAGCCCTCCGTGGCATTATATCGTGTCTGTATAATCTCAGCCGGGTGCCATGACTCATCCGAACGCCGCACCAAATAATGCTCTCCGATATCGAGAGGCTGCTCCTGTGCCGATTCCGAATCTTCATGGTCCGTGGTCCGGCACTCCGGATTAGGTAATTCATTGTTCACTATAGGTTTTTCTAACTCTTTATCACCTTTTGCCATATTCTAACTGAAATCAACAATCGTATCACGCAATACCGCGCAACGCGATCTATCGAAGTCGCCATAATAGCATAGATTATAGAAAATCAAGCGCGCAAAAACGTGCTACCATAGAGTTGCACCTATTTCGAACCGCAAAGAACTGTAATTGGTCACTATGATTAATATGGTGTTAATTAATATAATTATAAAAGTAACAACATAACAGATTGTAATTTCTGTACAGCAGAAACTTATTTAGATAAAAAATTATCTGAATTCGCACAAAACTTATTGGATTGTCAATGGAAAAAAAAATCTTTTTGTCTATGACTCAAGAATGTTACTAGCAATATAAAACAAGACAGATTTATGGGAAAACGAAGTCTTTGGTATTAGTATATTGATGGAAACGGTACAAACGTATATAATCAAAAATAAAAGAAAGAAAGAAAAACTTTATTTCACACGCTAAAACAGGTGACACGTACAGATCTTACATATAAGTTTATATACATCTACTAATGTCCCAAGTCTGCGGTGAAATACATAGACTAATAAAGCGTTACCACTAACAAATAAGATGAACTGTTTACCTTTGACTAAAGGATTAACATTTCTAATAATATTGTTAAAAATTAATGTGATTTCCTCTCCCTCATTGTAATGTAATGTAAAGTGGTCCTTACAAATATTCTTTATTTTATTTTACAAAAATTAAAGATGTATATTAAATGAATAGAAAATCCTTTATTTTGTTCAATTTTGAAAGTAAACCAACGTTTTTCTCCAAATCACTTTTTATCACAAATGGTAAAACTAAAGTGTTAGTGGGCAACATTATATTTAATGCCGAACGTACGTAATCGGCGAGCGAAACGTCTGAGTGTAAAGTGAACGAAACGGAGGTTTCGGGAACAAATTACTCTTATCGCTAACGAAGAGATATGAAATTTATATTTTTATCGAAAAACTGTGCAGTTCACTTGTACAAGTGTTGATTGTGATGCGGATGTGTATTGATTGAAACTAGACGTGGAACCAAGTGCAGTTTTACCAAGTCAGAGATATCTGAAGCCACCCTTGATAATTTGTGCTTTATTAGTGACAACGGTCGAGTAGAACGCAGAAATGCAGGCGATTAAATGTGTAGTGGTCGGTGACGGGTAAGTTTTCTATATTTATTTGAAATGCATGCTTTCCTAGCGTAAATGGTAAACGGTCTGACGTCATTTTTAAATTGAATCGTCTTCGTACAAAGTTGATTGGTGCCGTATCCAGCGCGTTCGATATTAGAGCTGGTTATACAACGAATATACACGTTTTATTTACTATTACCATTGTGCCATTGTGTTCTCAGGCTACGTAGTTTCAGTATGAAGTATGAGTAACAAGGTGATAAAAAATAACACGCCAAGTAACCTACAGATTATTGTTCTCGGCCGTAGCAATGTTTGAAACATATGCCGTCATTGCTAGGGTCACGAATAAACAACCAGATGTAGAAATGAATCGCAGGAAGTAATACTATCGTGTTCCACCATAAAGCAAATGTTGCTGATTATGAGCTGCTAATGAATTTAAATGTTAAGTTCGAAATTCAAACTTAAAACGTTAGTTTCATTAGGGCAAAAACCAGTCATGGTTTTATCTGCTTTACTAATCAAAGGTAAAGGTTTCTGACCCTCAGATATGATACAGTCACTTATAAGAAACATAAAGACTGCTGTTTATGTTAAATGTTGTTAAATTTATTACAAGACAACAAAAATAAAACATTGCTGTGGTTTGAGCCTTAACAAAGTGCAAAAATCATATAAGTTCTACATAAAGTATGTAAATATTTTGTTAAAAATTTATTAACCTACCATAGATTAATGTTTCCTTTTTCCAATTTAGGATGACATTTCAACTGTACTCTTACCATAAAGCCTAATTTGAATATGTAACTTTTTAAATTAGCTGCAAAGGAAGACAATCACATACATGCCAGGAATACTAAATTGAGGGTAAATTGGCATGTTTATTTTTATGTATAAAAGGTCATCTTTTATTCAACAGAAAGATAAAAATTATACTTTTTTATATCTTATCAAGAACCCTAAAACTTACTGAGAAAAGATAAAGACTGATAAAATGTGATATAAACTGAATGTGTCTAATTTATTTGTTTTATGGAGTATATTAATACATACAAGGAAAATAATGTTCTAGACTTATGTCTAAAAGTAATAACATTTTGAGGATTGTAATTAACTTTGCAATAGCAAAGTTGCATCATATTACAGTGTTCTGTAATTCTAAAAATTGACCTAAATGAATAATAATACAGACACATGTTTTTATGTACAATTGACATGCAAATTTTGGTCTAGCAAATGTAGAACATTGATCTTAATATTATAGAATATCTTTGGCAACAATTAACAATAAGTCTAGCATCAAAATAACTTTGTACATAGTTTTATCAACACATCCACATGTTCACTGCTGAACATAGGCCTTCCTCAATGACGGATGATTGATTAGAAGTGAACTGATCCAGCATATTTGAGTTCTCTATAATAGAGTTCCAAGGAACTGCTAGTCATCAGATCATCATGTAGGTTATAAACTTATGACATAATATTGTCTTGTAGTGTTAATGTGCGCTTAACTCGTATATCCCCAAGGTCACTGGTGAACCCTCTCCACTAAATACATTATAGACCTTATTTGCAATGTTTAGAGACTACTTTTGAATGAACAAATGTAGGGGATGATTTTCAATAATTTTCAAGGGGTTAACCCATGGTATGCAATATAGACGAGACACAATGCATTTTTTATTCTGTCTCATATCAGATAAGCAGTTAATTGTGAAATATATAACAAATGTTCTAATAAATAAAATAAATAGGTTCTATAGAAAGGAAAATCATTATCTATTATTAGAGGTCCCTACTAACCATCACATTTAAACATACAATTCTATATGGTAATGGAAGCATTTAATTTATCATTTAAGTCATAGATTATATACAATGTGTCATTCTTATTATGTCCATGCCATAGCATAATACATGAAGTACCTAATTAGCTAATTCTATACATAGTTAATGTCGCGGAGAACCTAACGGGTAACCGGGGCTCCGGCTCAACATGCAGGAGAAGGAATGGGGCGGTTTTTAGTCAGTAAGAGTCTGACACTCCCTCCCGCCTCACCCAGGCGAGAGCAGTCAATCGATGATTTTCCCCATTTTTTCGTAATGTCTGGATACCTGCTATGTACTTACCTGATAGAGTGAATTAAGAACATAATTTTTAGGAACTATCTGTCACATGAGTTTATTGGGTACTTACTTATATGAAAATGGTGAAACAGACACTAACTAATGGTGATTAAGACTGGTCATGAGAGACCTTTAATACAGTCTATTTTACACCCCACAACGACAAAATGAAATGTACAGTACATTCTTATTAGCTCTGTTACGCATATCTTCAATAACTTAAGTCTACAATCTCATATTGCATCCCAACATGCACAGATGCTGTGTAACTCAATATTATGCAGTTAATTGATACTGTGATATATTGCTGTGCTATGTGAACCTGCCCTTACTGAGTCACGTTAATGTAAATACGGCCTTATGAGATCATGAACATGTGCTGTCTCATAAATAAAAGTTTTATAAGTTCCTAATGACTATTTACTTATTTATTAGCTGAATCAATCATATTTAAATAAGTATTTATCTAACTTCTTGGAATCATAATTGCATGTGAGTTGAAATTGCTGGTTATTGGCTGGAATGCACAGACAAACAAACATTAACTTTTGTTCATTGTAATATACTATAATTAACAAATATTATTTGAAAATGACTTATATGAAATGGCATGGCTACATTAACGACTAACAAATAGTTTTGAACCATTGTAATAACTAAGTTAAGGAATGTCTTTATCAAGTTTTTTGTTATGCAGTTTTGTGAATAGGTACTTCTTGCCATTCAAAGATTGCAAATAGGGCAGGCTCAATTACTCGTAATGTTCGACTTCCTTTTGCTGTCTCCTTACATAGATGCATACTGCTATGTGTACAGATTTTATACCAAAAGTTACTTTACTGTATCCACTACCAAATTAGGAAATTCGAATAGGTATTTGCGTGTTGTTGTGGTCGTATTTACGCGTAAGTATACCTCATAATAAACTAAAAGGAATTAGCTACTAAACAGTAGCCTTATTTTTAGTTTTTAATAACTAAAAACCACTTAATTAGAATATTTTTAATCAAATGTATAATTAACTTCACATTTTCAGCTTAGTTCTTCCGCGTTATTATACAATAATGAGCTTACATTGTCCATACATAAGCTACTACAAAACTTCTTAGCTATAAAGAATTACTCCATACTAACAAAATGATCGGTTTTAGCGCCTACGAATCACTGGTTTCCTCGGATAATCTTCGACCTTTGCTTTCGCGCACACATCCTTGAATTTATAGTAAATAGCTGTACGTATATCGCTCGTCACATCGCAACTACTATGAGTCAGGGTCATCACCATTTTCCCAAATCAATTAACTACGTAGATACAATTTAAAACTCGTCTTTGAGGTAAATTTATATAAAGAAAACTAAGACCTAGGCTAATGTAGTCCACTAACACACTAATAATAAAAATCTATTTTGGTTCGGCACACATACTCATGTTTTTACAAAATCCGCTCCGAGTCTGAAGGTCGTTACACAGAATTGGACGCACCTATTACTTTTATTTAATACTGTTTTACGATATGTATGTGGCTTCGTATTTCATTCAAGAAAGGTTTTAAGTCTCGGATTATTTATTTTTTAACAGTAGAAAACTGGATGTTTTCACTTGAAAGTAATTTACGTTAAGTAGGTAATAAAACCTCTTAAGCTAGTGGCTACTGAAACTATGTTTAAGGAAACTGGGAATTCGGTTGATGGTCTTAAAAGTAAACCAAAAAGAAAGAAGGATTTTATGGCAGAACTTTCAAACCAGTTCCAGCGAGCAGCTCGAACATTTTAGATTTATTTAGCGAACCTTCCCCACCATCGACATCGAGTTTTCGAACGACTTTGAAAATAAATTACTCAGCAGTCTACAAGAAAGGGATTACAAAGTACAAACTGCTTTCTAAAAGTATGGTGATCACAAAGTTATGTTTACAAAACGTATAACAGTGTAATCAATCACTTTCATCTTTGCTTTTTCTCACGGAAACTTAGAAAGGTTACTCTTATAAAATCCTGCCATAACAACCCGTCGTTATTTAGATATGTGACAGGAAGGAGGGGCAACGATGAACGATATCATCCGTCAATACGTGCATAATAGACAGACATACGGACACGACCTTGATCCTCAAAGGGCAGAGGTGTATTGTTAGTCCATAGACAGCCAATGACGGAATGAACTATTCGATCATAGTGACACAAAGCGAGGCCAATAAAATTGGTATTAGAAAAGTTTAGGCTCAGCTGTGTTTCTGCCAATTCAGTTGCAAATTGTTAGGACAAACTAACAAAGTGGGTTACTTTATTAACGACTGGATACTCATTTTTAGAAAACGATTTTAGACCATATTGACCTATATTTATGTCATAACTTTTATGAGACATTCTAAATTAATTAATGAATATGAGCCTCTATTAGTCTAGTCCATCCTATTGATCATACTGTTTTTCAATCTGCACTTTGGAAAATGTTAAAACAATGAATAATGCGATCTAACTACTACTTTTACGTTGTACCGTATTTAATTATAGAACTAAATGCAATAACTATAATTGTAAAACAGTGGAAGTGAACTTTCTATTTTTCGAAAGATTTCCTGTCATTGTGGATAGAATTTGAAACAATACGCCTTCGTTGTTCGTTGTTTATGTAGTGCAAATAGGGCACGGCCCTAAAATACTGACCTTTCTAGAGAAAACGTTTCAGTATCTTTGGTTTGTTTACACGTCTGCAGTAAGAATGTTTTATTATGAAACTGAACACAATTAGGTACAAGTATTATTTAATGGAATATTTTTGTCCACCTGCGACAAATTTCAATGCTGAATCACTTCCTTACCATCGACTAATGAATAACTTTATGTTTGTCACAAACTGAATAACTACCTACCTAATCCAAATTGGGTAGGTA